AGGTAAGAAAAAAGAAAAGGAAGTCTACATTTTCTTAATGGAAAAACTGCATTTTGAGTTTAGAAATATTATAAAAATTATATTAATAATAACTAACGAGGCCGTAAACGAGCAAATTTCATGTGTGTACTAACAAATATATTTTCATTAATATCAAGATGTATAGATATCTATAAATGCGGTACCAGTTTCGACTTGACTTCAGTCTTCATCAGCTGCTAAACAATTATTACTTAATACATGATTTCCGCGACGCATTTTAAGATCAGCGTAGAATATCAATAATCTAAATATTGCTCGTAATTACAAAGACAATATTAATAATAACTAACGAGGCCGTAAACGAGCAAATTTCGTTGGTGTACTAATTTGCTCGTTTACGGCCTCGTTAGTTATTATTAATATTGTCTTTGTAATTACGAGCGATGTTTAGATTATTGTAAAAATTATATTAATAAAATTTTATACTATTTATGCGTCAACTCGTACCTGAATTAATCAATTCATCGTCAATTACAATTGCATTGTGACTTTAATAATTATATTCGATCGTAATTTAATTAATCATTTGCCACTGTAGACACGCTTGTTCATTTTTATCAGTGTTAAGTATCAGGTTGTATCAGCACGTTTTTGCGCTACGATGTTATTATGGATATTCATGTAACCAATAATTTCTCAAAGTCGGTCGCAGAAAAATAATCACTAGTCAAGCTTTTCATCCATCTTTTAATTTCATTCAATCGCTAGAACTTCTTATTTCTATTTCGTAAACTGAATAAAACGGATTCTGTCCGCTTCGACTTAGAAGGAGTGGAGGAAAAGGGGCGGACTGAGATATCGCTTCCTTTTGTGTTCAGCCCGCCGGCAAACGTGGAAAAAGACGATAGTAAAACTAAAAGAAAAAAAGAACTACGCCGATAAAAACAACATGAAGGCAGCAGAGATAGAAGATGTGGAAAAAGAAAAAGAAGAAGACGAAGAAGGAGAAGAAGAAGGAGAAGAAGAAGAAAGACGATGGAGGAGAATCTAGTAATGAATGAAGGTTGCTCACGGTTTAATGAATCCCCAAGATGGAGCTCAACGGGAAATAAAGAGAGCGTAAGAGGCAAAAGCACAGCTTCTACGAAGCTGAAGATGCTTGCGAAGTAAAGAAAAGAGAGACAGAAAGAGAGAGATGGATAAGAAAAGGATAAGAGAAAGAAAGGGAGAGAAAGAATTATTTATTAAGCGCCCTGGGCTAATCTCTCCTCAAACATTAAAAACTTATAAATATACATGTGTATAAATTAATTTAAGAATATGAAAGATTAAACAATTAAGCGATTCTTCTGCGAACTTTTGTGTGTGTGTCAAAATCTTGCAGATTTAAAGCAATTATTTTCGATCTAACTTCATTTCCTTTTTTATATTTTACAATTTTTACATGATTTGTCCTATCAATAGTCTCGGATTTCTGAGATTTGCTTTCTTATTTTAATTCTAAGTGTGTTAAACTCCTAATATGTATTGATTCTTTCATTTTAGTCATGTTCACTAATTAAACCGATATTATTGTGCGAGCAAATAAAACTTTTTTTTTTAACTTTTAAATCGAAGCAGGATCCCCTTTTCGATATATTTACCAAAATTAGAATGTCCATATATTATTAACAACAGGAAACCGAAAGAAAGATTTCCAATTTGCAAAGAAAAAAAATGATAAACTGCATCTGAATCCGAGTCCGAAAAGTTAGAGAGATACAAGCTAACCTAAGAGCTGAAAAAGAAAAGCTTCACAAGATAACAAGCGGAAGAAAAGAGTCATTGAGTACAAGCAGACCAAAACATGTCAAATCTATACTTACAATTAGTCAAGTTCTCAAAACAGAAAGAGAGAGAGAGAGAGAGAGAGAGAGAGAGAGAGAAAGTGTGAAAATTCCCAATAAAGCAAAAAATAAAACTTTATCATAAAAACAATTTCCCCGCTGCTACCATCTCTCCCGATTCTCCAGAGAGACAGAAAGTGTTTCTCTTCTTTCCCGTGTTTTCTTGGCTGCAAAGAAGGTCTAGCGATTGCGATTTCTCTTTCTGTACCCTCCTTTTTTAAATATCACCTCTGAATCTTTTACAATGATTCTCGGAACCGAATAAGCGTAACGACAAGAATCACCGATCAGTTCTACTTATCTGACAAAACCTTATTTAATCGAGTGATAACTTGACATCAAATTACTTTGCGTTCGAGATATCTTCTTTACATATTGCATTAATAAATAAATTTGATACGAGTATATCAAGATAATCTTTTATTGTATGCGACAATATCTTTTACTCGTCGTCGCAGCGACGACGATGTAAGTAAATCGATTTATCAACGTATTCGTGTTTTCTTTTTTAGTTTCTTTTTGGCTATTTTGATATAATTGCGATTACACGTTATGCATTATGGATATTTGAAATATAAAATTTTATACGTGCAATCGTGCATTTCTGAACGTCTCATCAATTCTTCCTTCGTTTATTCACTGGATAATTTCGGTAGCCGGCATTCGCAACCGACGCGGCAAATCAAATGCGATCAAATGTAGATCCAGCTGTTTCTCCGGTTTACCGAACGGACGATCCGACAATGTGTGGTACTCGCGCCTGTTTCCGAATCAAGAAGAGTGTTTGCCGCGCACTCGTCAGTGACTATTCGGCAGCGCGGCGAATAAATCCGTTCCTCTCCTTCCGCGCGAGACGCGTATAACGAGATGCCGCCCGGTTCCGATTCCGAAAACCGTGTAATCTAAAAGTCGATTTATATACCTAGATTCGGATCAGCGGAGGCGATGCGACGACGGAAAACGGCGATGAGGATCGGCTAACCGGCTTTCTACTTCACGATCCAGTTGATTTAAGATATGCCGTCTCTTCCCACCGCCCTCTCTCTCTAACGTCGAAACCATCCCCCTCTAGAATCTCCTTTCTAGAGTCCGCTTCCGGCGAATGTTTGTTCGATCTGATCTCCGAATAAAAGCTTCGCGGGAGCGAACTGGAAGATAAATACTGCTCTCTTTTCGTGTCGTCTTGCAAAATAGAATAATGTGGCCGCGCTTCCGCGTTCTTCTTCTTCCTTTCGTGCTCGCGTGTTCAAATAGCTCGAATAAAACGCATTTGCTTCGGCGGGTCCCGTAAAATGGATACCGTGAATTCCTGCCCGAAGTCTACGAGGAGCGAAATCGATATTTTTATCGTTGCCAGGAAGGATAAAGTATCTCAAATTTAGCTGTGCACAGAAATTTTATATTGTAATGCGCACATATACAATTTGTCTGCCTAAACTATTCAATCTGATAAACAGTTATATTTTATACGGAGGGAAAAATATCTGTAACATCGGGAAAATTCAAACAGCTGATAAATAAAAGCGGATTAGAAGATAATAGAAGTGTGCAAAGCTGTAGAAAAACATGATCTGGGAAAGTGAATTCCCAGATATTATCATCGTGGGCGTATCCAGGATTTTTTTTCGAAGAGGGAGGGAGTATCAATCCTGTTAACTTAACGCATAAATAACAATTTTTTTCATTAATAAATCGCTTCATTCGATATTTTACATCATCAAATATTTATATCGTATCATAAATCATATTATAAATTTTATAAAAAATATTTGGTTTTGTAAAACTAAAAACATAAACAAAAATTTTGGTGGGGGGGTTTAAACCCTCCCCTTCACCCTTTTCCCCTTGGATATGCCCATGATTATCATATGTCATTCCAAAAATAGACAGATAGGCAAAATAGAAAAGCTCGCGTCTGTACAAGCGTATAAGTTTATGGCGACTGGTGCGAATGCAAATATCTCCAAATTTATTTAACACATGCACACCAGCGGAGTGGAGCAAACAACCGAACGCAATTGAACGGCATCTCGACTCGATTGTGACAAACGTTCGTCGACCTCCCCTAGAGATATACACGCCGAATACCGTCACGCTGGCGAACGCGCTCGCGAGCGTGCGTGCATAGGTAGGTATGTTCGTAATTCTCGCGCGTGCGAGAAAATTCGAAAACGTTCGTCTATGACAGCAAGGAGGCCCGCCGCGTGCCGTCGTCGTCGTCGTCGTCGCGCCGCGTGAGAAATGGGGCCGCGCGACGAGAAAGGGCGAATGCCCGTCTTTTCTTTATGTCCCCTGCAGCTTTTCAGGCTGCGGTCGTAACCCCTTCTCGAGTGCTTTCAAAGGGACCGCGTGGTGCGGGAGACGCGCCCAGGACGAAAGAATGCGCCACCGCCGCCGCGTATATAAAGCGCAAAGGCAAAGAGTTTATACGACTGGCGGTGATCTTCACGTAAGCTCGTTGGAGAACACTTTCGAGACCAAGAGCTTCACAATAATGACGCGAGAGCGTTGTAAATAATTTGAAATGCCGTGTGCACAAAAAATCCGTACAGGCAACCAAAAATTTCAGCTAGGAATATAAGTGCTTTCTTTGTGGAACTTTGTTATATACAGTTGAACCTCGATAACTTGAACCTCTACAACTCGAAAACCTCTATAAAACAAAAATTATGTTCATCCCTTTCTGCTCCGCTGCGGAAAACCTCTATAAATCGAAATAAAACCTACTTTAACTCGAATTATTTGCCAGGCATTTAGATATATATTTTACCTCTGTAACTCGAATTTAAAGTAGCCAGACCTCTACAAGCCGAAGTTTACCTCTATAAGTCGAACTTCCATTGTCGCTATACTTCTATAATTCGAAGTTGTATAGCTATGTGTAATCGTGAGTTAATAGTCTGGTATTTTGTTTTATGGTTACATTTATCATATGTATGCAATAAATAATTTACTATTGAATATTAATTTTTTTTCCTCTGAAAGCCATTATATTCGAAAAATTATAAATTCCCGTACAAAGCCTCCGTAAGTCGAATTTTCATATGTTAACCCTCTTTTACTCGAATTTCGATAAATCGAAAACTCTATAACTCGAACAGTTTTTCTGGTCCCTGGAGATTCGAGTTATCGAGATTTGACTATATTTTTTTATTTCATTCAAGATTTATCTCAAGCTCAATATCTTTGGACAGTTTACTTATTACCATTTATCTTTAGTTTGATATCGTGATTAACTTAATTAAGCGGTTTCAAGTGGATTCAATTAATTGTAATAAATTAATCTATCGAGTCTGAATGAATCTTTTCGGAACGAATGTGATGCGTAAATAAACAAAACGCACGAGAGCGATTGATTTCATTTCGATACTCGTCCTTAAAAGGTTAGTGTGGCCGTGCTTTTCGTGTAACTGAGCTAAACAAATAAGATTAAAAGGATATAGTAGTGCATACACAAATAGAATGTAGTAGTATTAGAGATCAAATTTGAATAGCTCTCGCTGACGTTTGGGTAATAGTAGCATTATAAAGCGAGTTCTAACCCAGAAGGTTTGAGTAGGATACGGCAAAAGGAGATCTGCGCGGTGTGGGAGTTTGACGTTACTATAGCATTTCAATAACGTTCGATTTCATAATGGTTCAAAAGCGGTTCAATAGTAATTGAAAATCATGAATAAATTTCCTTAACTTACGTATATTGATGTCTTCTAATATTGCTCAAATTATAGTATTAACAGTAAATGTATAATTAAGAGGGAGTATAGAGTATTTCTCTTCGCACACTTACGCAATTTCTTATTAAACTCCTTTTTTGTAATGTTTTAAACCTAATAGCATAGAAACGTATACAGTAAGATTTAAACTGATTAAGTCTAAAACTGATTAAAGCGAATCAGCCAATTATAGTTGGCCAATTATAGTCAAAACTGTTGTGAACATAAGGTTAATAGTTTTAAATTCTCGGATTCTGTAATTGAATGATTTCATTGTTTCAGTCGTATTGGTTGCATGTTTTCGTGTATCACTAGTAAAATCTCCCAGGTGCGTCATTTCCAATCTAAATTTTAGCTATACCCAGATAGCACAGAGAATGAAAAAAGAACTCAGTTTTTATGTCACTAATTTTGAGTTCATTTTCAGATGCAAAAAGAATTCTTTTTCTAAAAGGGATTCTCTTTACAC